TGGAATTAAATTTCGGGGTAATTTTGGGTCAGGAATGGGTCGATGAGGTACTCTGGACACAGGAACAGGGAGGGAGCGAGATATGTGTGGCTACTTTGGTTGTCTCCTACGTCTGTATGCTTAACAAAGCTCATGAGATATATTGTGACAAATATACATATATTTTGTAACTACAGGTTACAGAAATGTTGTTTTTGAACACCATTATGAAAGATTACAGTAAACCTCATAGATAATACAACTGGGGATACGTGGGACGATCCGTTCTTCAAGTTCCTGAACACTGAGGGTCCCAACTTTTACGTTGGTTTTGATCTATAGACATTCGGTAGGACTCCTTGGATGAGGGATCGGCCTGTCGCAAGGCCTCAAACTGTACACAGGACAGCACAACACAGAAAAACGCGGACAAAAATCCAGAAAACTCTTTACTTCAATGAAATATAGCGGGTTTAGTAATTAAAATACTGAAATTACTTTTTCCTTTAAATTACATGTAGTTATTTACAGTTTGGGAAGCCTGATTTATAGATTCTCAGTGTGACGACAGGTCCATATGAACAGGATCCTTCCATCCTTTTCTCGGACTGGGACCTGTTCATATACGTTGTTGGCAGATGATCCAGAAGTGGTTTGCCATTGCCTTCTTCTGTGTGTGAATGGAGTAATTGTTGGGATGCCACGGAGGAAAACTCCGTGTTGCCTAGACCACGGCCTTGCCCAACACAAGTTATAAATTCGGGCACCGCCGGGAATCGAACCCGAGACCCCCAGGATTACAAGGCCAGCGTTCTAACCGCTAGACCACAAATGTCAGTTTCTACAGTTCGAGTTTAAACTTCAGTTCTTTATAGTAACATGATTGCTGTCATACTATGAAACAGTGACAAATTATGATTTGTAACTTTTCAGCAAAATATTTGGGAAATTCACTATAAGATTACATGGCTGTTTCTAGAGTTGATTCACTATCTATCTATCTATCTATCTATCTGTACACTATGTTATCTATGTTGCTGTCTTCCAGTCTACGTTAATTCTTTATTATGTTCTCAGTCCCTCACTCTGCTTTGTAGCAGCTCATACTTGGCACATTACTCATGAATTTTCGTACTTGTGGGTTATCGGGACACATCGCTATAAAAATAGGTTAGGTTAGGTTATGTTATGTTAGGTTAATGTGTGTGGATAAATTACATATACTTGAAAGTTATTATATTTTATTTGGATATGCGTGAGATGTTAATTGTTGTTAAAACCTGTCGCCGGAGGCCAAAATTCACTTATAGATTTTATAATCGTTTTAAAAATATCGCCGTTATCATTTGTACGCCGTCACATGAACAACCGAGTATACGGGTATGCTTTACGCATGCGCAGTTTTCCGTCCAATCCAAATCCAGATATTCGACTCTACCGTTTTGTGTCCCCATAACCAACAAGTACCTGAGTTTTTGACAATCAGAAGTTTTTAATTTCTGTTTAGTCAAACTTGTTGTATTGCACCCGAAATAATCAGTTTTATGTTTTGATAAGTATTATAATTAAGGGTGGGTGACCATTTCATGTAGCTCATATGGTCTGGAGTTTTCAGTTCTGTGTACATGTTCAGGTTGTGCACTCAAGTCCATAGTTAAATATGTTTTCATTTATCAGCAGAATTTCTGTCAGTAGCTGTGACATCATCCTGCTGATTTTATTACGCATAAAATTCTTTCCCCATTTCAGTTGTTGCAGGAGACAGCAATTTTCCTTATTTTGCGTTCAGGCTTCACAAATTTTCCATTCTCAACCACGAGTTTCTTGAAAGTCTAAACTGTGTAATTTGAGGCTTTGAACTTTGTTTGATTTTTTTCCTATTGGAACAGGAAAAACTGTAAAATTTGATTTTTTTACTCTTTTTTCCTGTTCTGTGAAACATTTCTTCCAACCGTTATCACTTCAGTGTCACCTGAACTGTATTGCCACCACCGGAGTCGAAAAAAATTGATATTTTTGAATTGTCCTTTGACTTTTTTTTTAAAAAATGTCTTTGGATACTTCACTTGGGACAACTTTCTGGTGGAAAGTGATGGCTCCTGTAATGATTCCAGAGTTTTGTTCGAGGAAGAAACAAAGTAGGCCTGCTCAATTTTTTTAACTTTCCAAGTCGTATTTTTTTGTCATATTCTGAGCTTGAAGAGACACCTGCTTCATTTTCAAAACTTTTGGCAAGTTTGCAATAGTTTGCATTGATTGGTTGCCCTTACAGAATACCAGGAATCTGTTTTTGTGGAGCGTAACACAGGTTTCAGGTATTTTATTGGAACTTTCCCTGTGACTTTTAACACATTTGGCTGTTTGACACTTGTAGTTAAAATGAGATGGTAAAGTTGCGTCATATTGTGATATAATATTATTTAAATCTTGTCCATCTAATCACAATAAATTCTTATTAAATATTAAAATATTACAATAATTAACATTTAAAATATTTAAAATATTAAATGATGTTCTTTATCGAAATATTCTAATGTAAATCGAATATCAATAAATTCTTATTAAATATTAAAATATTACAATAATTAACATTTAAAATATTTAAAATATTAAATGATGTTCTTTATCGAAATATTCTAATGTAAATCGAATATCAATAAATTCAATATTTTAAATGTTAATTATTGTAATATTTTAATATTTAATAAGAATTTATTGTGATTAGACGGACAAGATTTAATATATATATACTTGTAGTTAAAAGTTGAAAAGAAATAAAAATTAATTTTGCATTTGACAAGATCAATGCAGAACTTGGCACACTAAGAAATGCAACTTAAGCGGCCAATCCAAGTACGAGTCTGACTCGGCTAGCCGGGCTCGGATATATTTCACCACAGATGCGTAGAAGACTCGGCTCGTGACACCCCCACCCACAAACGAGTTATGGCTCGATGGAACCCGAGGCGAGCCGGACTCGTACGTGGATGGGCCGCTTAAGGAGTGTCACAATCCTGGATCGTTCCAACGCCTGGCTCGGCGAGCCGGGCTCGGATATCATTTCACCACGCATGCGTAGCAGACTCGGCTCGTGACACCCCCACCCACAAACGAGTTTGGCTCGATGGAACCCGAGCCGAGCCGAGCCAGACTCGTACGTGGATGGGCCAGTTAGACTAACTGCTGGAATCGGTTGTGAACTGAAAGGTTAGACGAGTCATGTTGGCCTTGAGGTTGTCTGTACCAATTCAGTAGTGGCTTTTCTTATGACCTGATGATGAAATGAGTCGAACATGCACTTGTGTGTCTACATGTTATGTTCATGGTTCTTCTTCAGATAAGTTTAACCCCACACACACAACATGATGCAAAAATTTCACTCTGGGATTGACGTTAAAACAGACTATGCATCTGGCCGATGTTCAGTTTGAAGTCCGAAAGTGAATTTATGTTTTCAAACAGATTTGTGAATGTTCTTTCTACTGTGCTTGTACGAACAGGCACAAGGGAGTGACCATTTTTAACATTATATCACATTATAATATATTTAGGAATTATGTGAGAAATGCCTTGTTATAAATCAGTGGTATTAAACCTGGGGTACGTGAAATTTAAAAAAAAAAAGTTATAGTGGAACCACGGTTCCGGATAATTTGACGTAAATACGTCTATACGGTAAGGAGTTTATATATTGGCTTTATACATTTTAGAGTATCAACATATCGTGGAAACACCATATCTATACAAGATTTTGATCTAGTAGTACTACATTGAGGATTTGACATCAACATTAAGACAAACGTTTTCTCCATAAATGTGAGAAAGCTTTGATTTTCCTATCAAATCTAAAAATTCTTGACGATGGTGAAGAGTCAATTGAATAAAAATTTCCTTGGATAGGGATTAGCTCTAACTAGTGGGCCCTCTATCTAGTGGGCCCAACTGTGTAGGAACCTGAAGACGGAGATAGAGTCCCATCTCCGAAACGTCGTTTTACGTTTTATATTTACTAGACGATGGATAATATCCAAGGAAATTTTTATTCAATTTGATTTTCCTCCTTCTTTAAAATAATGTTAAAATCTCCTGCCAATATTATGGGCATTGTATTACGATTTTCTGTGTCCATAACTGAAAACGTTTTTGTATAATTTCTCAAATGACTCAAAATAAGTTTGTGGTTACAATTAAAACTTTTTCACCATTGACCATACCCTCTGGAGTTCATTATTTAATACTTTAATTTTTTTATGTTCCCTGCACTGTCTCATATATTCTACGTTATGGAGTCCTTTTGCTTCAAGGTCAGCCATCTTGTACATAGTATGACGCAACAAACTAACGCAACAATAGATTTCTTAATAAATCTTATATAAGGTAAGTAATTGTGATATTGTAAAACGTTTTTACCAGCACAAAATTATCTACTGTACGACGCACTTCTACAAGCGATTCACAGCAGAGCTCTTTCCGCAATAACGAAAGCGGATTGTTGACGGCAGTAATGTAACACGACAATGCCGAGTAAACAGATGACGTTTCGTAGGTAACATAACAATGCATACAAGCTGACCATTGTTGTCAGTCCATATTTACAAATTGTTGATATGGATCTTACACGTTTTCCTTTCACTTGTTTGCTGAAAGACCCTTCCGTATAGACGTATTTACGTCAAAAAGAATTATTTTGTGATCAACACTGAATAATCGATAATGTAATTTATTTAATTTATTTTAGATATAGATTATATACTATATATAACTTGAACTGTACACCAACAACTTTGGGAGTACAAAGTTGAAGTGAAATTATATCTGGGGGTAGGCGAACAAAAAAGGTTGAATACCACTGTTATAAATAAATGGACTCTACATGTTTAATGCATGTGAACAGAAGTGCATTTCAGAAAAAGATGACATAATAAATGAACCATCATTAATGCTAAGATATTTACATTTTTCATTAAAATCATTTTTGTTTAGATTGAACTGATATTTTAAAACCTAACCTAAAATTTCAGGCTGGTTGATCAAGCAATCCAGGCTGCAGTTGGAGAAGGCAGCCTGCACCTGTTTACTGATGCCAGCATCCATACTGCACCACACAAGACACCTATAGAATCCGGTGGACCAGCTGAAGTGGTGGCAGCACCCGCTAGCAGCCATAAAAATCAGCACCAGCACCGGAAGAGGAAGGAACGCCACGAGAGCTTCAACTCCCAGAGTCAAGAGAGGAAGGTTATAAGGTACTTGCCAAGAGTTTGTTGCCTCTGGAAGTTTATCATAGGACCAATCCTTGTGAATTGTAGGGTTTTCGGACCTTGTTCTCTGTCTGATGTTATAAAAGAGGACTGGATCTGTCCTCGTCTTCAGGCGTAGCGAAGGGGGCGCCTACTCTGTTGATTCCATTAGAATGAGCTAACCCCAATCACTACAAGTAATTTGTATTTTAGCTCATTCACTACATCTGAAGATGAGGTCAGATCCAATCCTCGAAACACATTTTATAACATCATACAAAGGACGGGGTCCAAAAACCCGACAACGCAGATTGTGTTACACCGTCATCAGAACACTTCAGAATCAAATTCTTGTCACTTTCACAGCAGAAATTGCGTCTTGGACCAGCTCAGCGAATGAACGCCAGCACCGACTGTAATTCCGAACTAATTTAAAAGAATTATATGTAATGAAGGACGTGGATTATCTGCGCTAGACATATTTTCTTTCCACATAAATGTGAAGTAGGCTTTCGACCTCTTTCAGCGCCGTACCTGTCATGCCACAGGCGACTTCCGAGGTATCCGGTCACATCAGAACCCTGATGATGGGGACAGTTGGTTATCGAAACGTCGGTTCACCACAGTAACCAGTTGACCCGGCTGATTGCCCGAGAAGATTCTATCGAGCCACCTTTATACTTGCCATCGCGACAACCTTAAATCCTACATAATGTAAATA